TAACTATGTAGGGGCAGTGATAGCCATGCCAGTCCAGGGACTGACTGCAGTCCCTTCATTTTTTTTAACAAGTCGACAACTGATCGTAACAGAGACAAAATGCAGCTGATCTGATTTGCTTTGGATCAAACCGGGGCCAATCTTTCACCTGGTAGCCAACAGTCTTAGAACGGCACCATTCCAGAAGAATCTGCTTGATGCTGCTGGCGCTGGACACGCCGAAACTCTGCGAGCGCTTCAGCCCTGCTTGTTTAGGGCGGCTGAGCAGAGGAGAGAAAAGAGACCCATCAGACATCAGAGCACTTCTGTCCCGAAGAAACAACAGCTCAGCGCTTCTTTAGTCTCACCTCTTCCCTGCTTCAGAGTCTAATCTTTCGAATAGAGATCGACGGGTCTGAGCGCCGATGCTTCGAGGGAGAGTCTGAGATCTCACCAGCTCCCGCCTCCGCTCTCCCACCTGGCCCAAGGCTCTGTCGTCTCTGCGGGGTTCACCAGCATCATATAAAGCAGTACCAAGGACATTTTCCCAAAGGTTTGTTTCCTCCAAACACTCACCTTTCGGGCTGCGGCAGCCCTGAGTAGGTCACAGACTTCGCAGGAGCTGAGTTTGCTTTTTCTGGTGCAGAGATCCATCAGAGGAAATCAGCTGTGGTGTTCTTTTAATGCATGGATGGTTTAAAACGCTATTTAACACTCACCCTGGAGATCTGCTGATCCCAGAGCTCCTGCAGGTGTAGACGTCCATGTCTTGCAGACAGAAGCTGACAGAAGGGAGACCAGAATCAGTTTGGGTTCGATTGTCGTCCAAAAGCAGACATGAATTATATGAAGGAGGAGGAAAATGGTAAATGGCCTGAAGTTATATAGCGCACTGAAGTGCTTTACGCTACATTCAGTTATTCATCTATTCACGCACCCACAGTTGATCGGGGGCTCCCTGACAGATGGGAAAACATCCATCAAACATCCAGGCACCACCAGTCCCTCCGAGGGGAGCAGGCAATGCAGATGAAGTGTCTTTCCCAAGGGCACAACAACACTAAAAGCACGAGAAGGGATTTAAACCTTTAGTG